CAGTGAAAGCTACTCTGAGGTCTCCACGCAGCTTCTCTTCTCCAGGCTGAACAGCCCCAATGTTCTCAGCCTGTCTTCATATCGGAGGTGCTCCTGCCCCTGGTTCTCCTCCATGTCACTTAAGGGCCTTGTCTACACGGCGTGTGAACACTTCCAGGAACAGTGACTCCAGCACTGCCCTGGGCAGCCTGTTCCAATGCCTGAGCACCCTCTGGGCAAGGAATTGTTCCTCAGCTCCAGCTAAACCTGCCCTGGGGCAGCTTGAGGCCATTTCCTCTTGTGCCATCCCTTGTTCCTTGGGAGCAGAGACCAGCCCCTTCCTGTCTCCATCCTCCTGTCAGGCAGTTGCAGAGAGCAGTAAGGTCCCCCTGAGCCTTCTCTTCTCCACACTAAACCCCCCAGGTCCCTCAGCCCTTCCTCATCACACTTGTGCTCCAGGCCCTGCACCAGCTCCGTTGAACTTCTCTGGACCCACTCCAATGAAGAGATGTGTCCCTTTGCTAACTGCTCTTGAGATTTTGTCTCTCAGTTCTCCTCAAACAGCACAAACTGTGTCTTCACAGTGGTGGGGTATATATGCTTCCTACAAAGAGCAACACAACATCACTAGGATCAAAACAGATGTCAATGCATGCAGGAATAAATAGCCTGAGCCAAAACAGAGCCTCCAGTGACCAGCAGAACCAGCAAAGAACCAAGCCTCCCAGTACAAGGAAGAAACTGGTATGCAATGAGAGTCATGCTCTGGGGCGCATGCCTGAAGCAGCCTGGCAATGCCTCATGGCAACCCCTCCGCAGCTCACAGCACGCTTGGTGCATTGTTCATCTCCAAGGAGAACACAAAAACTCTCCATAATGCTTCTCAGCCCGTTGCCATAACAGCCTCAATCCCTGGGAGAATGGAACTGTGCATGAATTTGGGCTGGCTAATGAGGTGGCTCTCTCCAGAGCACTCCTCACTGTTCCCAGCCTTGTTTTCCCCATGCAGGAATGGCAGAGCAGCTCCCAAAGCCATCTCTGAGCTACAGCAGAAAGGTTTCAATGCCGTGGCTCTGCTCATGTCCAGAAGTAGAAAGGGCAAATCGTGCCTGACAAATTTGGTGGCCTTCTATGATGGGGGGTAAATGAAGAGCATCTGTTGTCATCTGCCTGGACTTGTGCAAGGCATTTGACATTATCCTGCATGACATCCTTGTCTCTAAGTTGGAGAGACATGGATTTGATGGATGGACAACTCAGTGGATGAGGATCTGGCTGGATGGTTGCACTCAAGTTGTGGTCAATGGCTTGATGTCCAAGAGGCAACCAGTGACAAGTGGCATTCCTCAGGCATCTGTGTTGGGACCAGCACTGTTTAAAAGCTTTGGCAGTGACATGGACAGTGGGATCGAGCAGCCTCAGCACGTTTGCTGATGACAACGAGCTGTGTGGTGTGGTTGACACACTGAAGGGAAGGGATGGGATCCAGAGGGACCTGGACAGGCTGGAGAGGTGGGACTGTGTGAACCTCATGGAGTTCAACAAGGCCAAGTGCAACATCCTACACACGGCTCAGGGTTATCCCAAGCACAAACACAGGCTGGGGGCACAGGCTGAGAGAGCTGGGCTGGGTCAGCCTGGAGAAGAGAAGGCTCCTGAAGGGGACACCTTAGAGCAGCTCCAGTGCCTAAAGGGGCTCCAGGAAACCTGGAGAGGGGCTTTGGACAGGCCAAGAGGAATGGCTTTAACCTGCCAGAGAGGAGACTGAGATGAGCTCTTAAGCAGCAGCTCTTCCCTGTGAGGGTGCTGAGGCGCTGGCACAGGGTGCCCAGAGAAGCTGTGGCTGCCCCATCCATGGCAGTGTTCAAGGCCAGGTTGGACACAGGC